GTACAAATATGGCTATGTCACCTGCTGCTTAAAATCCTTCACAGGCTCTTTGCCCTTGTCCATTGCTCTCAGGATAAAGCCTAAGCTCCTTAGCCTGGCAGAGAAGGTGCTTCACTCTTTGGACCTAGCATCTTTCTTGCTGTCCCCCTTCCCTGCCCTTTGTGGTCCAGCAATACCGAATTACTCGCAGTTGTCCCAAGCATCATGCTGATCCCTCTGTCTTAATTTACCTCTTTGAAAGAATCCCCATTCATACTTGAGGTCACCTCCTCCAGGAAGCCTTCTTTGACCTTTCCTAGACTGGGCTAGATGCCCCTTCTCTGTCTCCCCTTCTAAACAGTCAGTTCTGTAAGGACAGGGATTGTGATTTTTAAACCTTAGATCCCCTAGCACCCAGCATGGGGCCTGCTGGATCTCCAGCCCTCCCAAGGGGGTGGAGAGAGGAAGGGGCTGGGCTATCTTTCAAACTCGAAATCACATGACTCACTCCACCTTCCCAGGGGTGAGCCAGAGGAGAAACCAGAAGGAAACAACAGGAATGTCAAATAGCTCACTCCCCGCCCCCAACAGAACCAACTGCTGTGTTTGCTCTCCAGAATTTACACTATATTATTGCTAAATGAACCTCCTTTCTACAAGCTTCTTTCTTTTATTCTTTCTGTTTTTTTTTTTTAAATTAAAAAGTCTTTTAAATAGAAGTAATATGCATCCTTGGTTTAAAAAAACACTAACAGTATATAGAGATGGGCTCATCATGAAAAGCAAACCGTCTCCTGTTCCAACTCCCTCTAAGCCCAGAGGCATGCTATTTTACTCCTTTGGCTATTTCTTCTATGATTTCCTTCAGTTCTCTACTATCTCCTGATCTGGCAGACTGAGCTATTTAAGGCACAAAGCTGACCATGTCACCCCACCCCACCCCATCTGAAACTGATAGCTGCCCTTTGGAATAAGGTCAACTCCTTAACAGGGCCAACCAGGCCTGCTTCTTCTGGTCCTCCTGTCGCCCTTACCCACTTTTCTGTTTTCTTCTTTCCTGTCTATGTACATTTTCAATTTTTACATTTTTACAGTGACACCCCCTCCGCCCCCACAACCATGGGGAATCCCCTCCCCTTGACTGTGGGCTGGACTTTAGTGACTTCTTCTAAGGAATAGAATTTGGCAAAAGTGATGGGATGTCACCTCCATGGTTAGGTTACCAAAAGACTCTGGCATCTGTCTTGCTCCCTCTTTTGCTCTCTTGCTTGCTTCTTCTGAGGGAAGCCAGCTGCTGTGTTGTAAACTGTCCTGTAGAGAGGTCCAAGTGACAAGGAACTAAATGGTAACAGCAACAGCCCATAGGAATCCTGCCAACAACCACACCTGTGAGCACTGAAGTGGCTTCCCCAGTCAAGCCTTTGGATGAGCCTGCAGCCCCAGCTGACACCTTAACTACAGCCTTGTATGAAACCTTGAGATGACCTAGATTAGCCCAGAGTCCTGACCTGCAGGAACTGTGTGATAATAAATTTTTGTTGTCCCAAGCTGCTAAATTTTGGAATAATTTGTTACACAGCAATAGGTAACTAACACAATCATTATGTCATTTTTCCCCCTGTTCAGTCATAGAACAGGAAACAGGTTTTTAATTGCCCCTTGCTTAACTTCCCCTTCCCATACCCCCTCAAAAACTATTAACAGACTAGGTGTTCCTTCCATGCCTGTTTCCGTGCTCATATAATTGTATAAAAAATACTGTGTGTGTGTGACTTATTAGGCCATTCCATTATTTATTCTTTTTTTTTTTTTTTTTTTGGTTTCCCAACCGCTCCGCGGCACGTGGGATCCTCCCGGACCGCGGCATGAACAGCATTGAACAGCATTTTCTGGCTTCATTTCTGACACAGGTACCCAAAGTACCCCTGGCATCCGTCAATCATAGTTGTGCCCTCTTCCCTCCCAAAAGGAAATCCTAAAGAATCTTGTAGCTTACATAAGCAATTAGCAGCAGCTGGCAAGAGCCACAGAAATATACATGCTTCTATTGGAATATGTCCATGGGAATCTGGGACTCAGCCTTAGGGTTCTAAAAAACACAGCCCTGAACAATAGAGCACATGCTGCTCTGAAATCACAGCCCTCAGAACAGTGGGACTGCAAAATGAAAGTGCTTTTAAACAAACATCCCAGCTTCTCTGCAGCCAAATGAGTGTCATTCTTCCAAGGGGACATTGTTCAAATAATTTCTGGAATCCTTCTTTGCAAATTGCCTTCCCCAGAGTCTGTTTCCAAGAAGCATAAGAACACTGGGCTTCGTCCTCCAGACAGTCCTCATTCTTTGACCCTCCCCAAACTGCATTCCCTAATGGGCTGACCCTTCTTGTGCCCTGGCTGAAATATCCCCTCCTCAGGGCTGCTCTGCCCCATTCTCAGGCAAGCTCCACTCCTCCTGTGACTTGCCGCTGGAGCACTTTCTTCCCCTTTGGTGGCCCTAGAATCATTTAGATGTTGCTTCCCACAGGTAGACAGAACCCTGTGAGGGCAGGGATTTTATGTCTTATTTACTATTGTATCCCCAGGGTCAGGTCCCAGCCCTGCAACACAGTAGGCACTCAATAAACAATTGTTAAATGAATGTAAAAGCCTGTTTGCAAAAATCAAATCCATCATCAGAGGACCCAAATTTGTCACCCTTAATAAAAGGAACAGCTGGCATGTATCAAGAGCTTACTGAGGACCCAGCACTGGGCTCTCAATAGGGCATTATTTCCTTTGATCCACACGACAATGCTGCATGCTGGGAACTGTCATCCCTGATTTACAGATGAGGAAATTGAGACTCAGAGCAATGAAATCGCTTGCCCAAAGCCACACAGTTTGGAGGCTGTTCAACTCTGAAGTTCAAACTTTTAACCATCGTGCTATACCATTTTTTTCTTGTTAAATAGAAAAAAAAAATGTTTTGGAAATTTAAAAAATACAGACATGTACAAAGGAAAAAAACCACTAATCTAGACTCCCATCAAGCAGAAGTTTTTGTTTGTTTGTTTGTTTGTTTGCGGTACGCGGGCCTATCACTGTTGTGGCCTCTCCCGTTGCAGAGCACAGGCTCCGGACACGCAGCCCCAGCGGCCATGGCTCACGGGCCCAGCCGCTCCGCGGCATGCGGGATCCTCCCGGACCGGGGCACGAACCCGTGTCCCCTGCATCTGCAGGCGGACTCTCAACCACTGCGCCACCAGGGAAGCCCCAAGCAGAAGTTTAACTGATGTTAACATCTTGGCCTATTTCCTTTCACCTTCCTTTCTTTTTCTTTCTCCACTCCTCTTTATTGAGAACATTCAGAAGAGTGTGCTGGAGGCCGCAGCAGCCATTTCTAAAGAAAGGCAGGGTGGAGTTTTGCATCATGCAGCAATGTCGGAAATACTTTCCTGTATTTCCTGGTTACTGCTCCCAGGATGGCAGCAGGTAGGTCTGGGTGTGTAATGGAAAAGCCAGTCTTAACGGACAGTAACCCCTGAAGATGCTCTGATCTCAGTAGAAAGGACTCCCAGAGAAGGGGTGAATTACCTGTCTACTTCCTGTGCCCCCAACAACTTGCTTGCCTGGGAAAGAGGAAATCTACACCTTATTTGTACCCCAGCCACCAAAGCTCACCCCAAGGCCAGCTCCTCCAGGGAGGACACCCAGAGCTGTCAGCCCCCTTTACAGGGCCAGCCTAGCTCCTTCCCTTATTCAGTCCTCACCTCCCTAATAGTACCAACAGACAGTTGACCCTGACCCTCCTGACTCCCCAGAAGGCAGCATGCCCCCCGCAACTATGCCCACCCTGCACTTGGTACCCGCCTGGACCACAGTGTGTATTTCTGTGCATTAGTCCTGTTTATACCTCTCTCTCCCCGTCAGACTGCAAGTTTCTCAAGGGCAGAGACTGTTTCTTATACATCTTTCTCTCTGCAGTATTTGGCACATAAAAGAGACTCAGTAAATAAGGGCAGCCAGACATCAGCTGTGGGAGAATGGAAAAAACACTCAGAGTCAGACAGACCTGGCTCAAATTCCAGATCTGCCACATCACAGTGCGTAGCAAAGAGCAGGCACTGTTTCTAGACCATAGTGGGAGTTACAGGACCTGGATTCTGGTTTGAATTTTGCTGCAGTCCTAAAGCAAGTTACTCAACCAGGGCCCTCATCTGTAAGAAGGGGGAGATAGCTACTTTGCTGAGTTGTCCAGTACTTTAAATACAAAATAATCCACGCAAAAGTACTTGACACAGAGTAGGTCCTCATAGAGACCTTTCTATGCTGTCTAGACAAACTCACGCCTCCCGCTTTATACTTGGGGGTGACAGCATCCAGTGCCCGGGTCTAACGGAGCCCAGAACGACTCTAGAAATGGCCGTTGGCAGTAAGATCCAGCCCAGCGGCCTCCCATCTGGAGGAGGCAGGGGCAAGAAGCCTAAAAACTCAGCTCTCCACACCAGCTACACAGGTCCAAGCTGCCTGTTTCCTCTCCCAGAAGAATCCAGGTCTTTCTATAAAGACGAATCACCCTGCCCCTCCTAAGAGCTACAGCAAGGATTGAGACAGAGCAAAACGTGCTCTCCCGAATCAGTATGTTCTGTAATGTTTATAATTAGAAAAGTCGCTCAGAGAAGGATAGAACCTTAGATAGGATAGAACCAAGCAGGATAGCACAGACTTGGCTGGAATTTGAAAGAGGGCCCACAGGAAGGAAGAGAGGGACGGGGTGCTCTGAGTCCTAGGGGAGACCAGGAGGGTTGCAAGGAGGGGCTGTGGCCCAGGCTGGAGGGAAACCCTGTATCACTTCAGTAGAAACCCCAGTGCTTGAGTGTAATTTGGAAAAGTCATCTCTGCCCAGTGCCTGTGGGGTTGGGGACCACTAGGCAGGCGTCCCCAGGTCTGTGAGTACATCTTCATGAAGTTCTCTGGGTGGCTGTCCCCTTAAGCACGTGTGGGAACCCAGGGTCTCCCAGGCGGTGGGTGTTCCCCGTCCCTCACTGGATCTTCTGCAGGTCCTCAGGCCCAAAGGAGGCAGGCAGCAGCTCCTGGACTGTCCTGACAACATACGTGCCATCCGGCTTGGTCATGTAGACAGCCCAGTCAGTGCCAAACTGGAAAAGAGACAAAGCCAGTGTGAGGGAAGCAGTGTGGCCAAGGGGTGAGGGCTGAGTGCTGACCTGGGTTTGAATCTGGCTCTACCTCTTACTGTCTAACATGCCTCTCTGTACCTCGGTTTTCTCACCTGTAAAATGGGAATGACAATAATCATACCTGGTGCATAGAGCTTGAGGGAGGAGCCCATGAAAGATGGCACATTAAGTAGTTGCACGTTGCTTGCACGTTGGGCAATCAATGCTCCATTCTCTGATTAAGGACTCACCCAGGGCTTTACAAGAACAATATCTAACCCCTGGGGCCAGATCCCCTCCTGCTGTGAAAAAGAACAACTAATACCTGCTTCCCTTAGAGCCTCTTGATAAGTCCTGACAACCAGGAGAGGTGGCATGCCTGCCTCATCACACACCCGACATGGAACAGGCAGGATTTCGCCATCTACCCTTTGAGGGAGGGGGATATTATCCCCATTTTACTGATGAGGAAACTGAGGTTTTGCAGGGTAACATCAGGAAAGCAGAGCTTTAGCCCAAATCTGTGTCCCCATCTTTCTCTTACATAACAGGAGTTACCACTTGCTGGCTGTGTGATGTGGGGCAAATGATTAAACTCTTTGGGTCTCTGTGTGTGTCTTGATCTGTGAAGTGGTTTTAGAGACAAAAGACTTATTAGGCAGGAAGATAGGTGTCCTAGGTGGAGAGTTAAATCAGCTGTGGTGTAATGGAGAGAGTCCTGGAGTTGGAGTTAACAGCCCGAGGCTCTGCCCGGTCAGTGCTGAGTCCTGGAGGTGCCTGCACGCAGTGTCTGGCACGTAGTAAATACTCCATCAATGGAAGCCATTCCTACTGATGACTTGTGCTTCCTACTGACCGCTCAGCTTTGCCGCCTGCTGTTCACGCTTCAGTCTGAATCACCAACTTATTACCAGGCACAATCCATCTCTGGCTTTTTATTTTATTTTACTTTATTATTATCTTTTTAAAGTTTAATTTTATTTATGTTTTTATACAGCAGGTTCTTATTAGTTATCCATTTTATACATATTAGTGTATACATGTCAATCCCAATCTCACAATTCATCCCCCCCACCCCAACCACCCCCGCCACTTTCCCCCCTTGGCGTCCATACATTTGTTCTCTACATCTGTGTCTCTATTTCTGCCCTGCAAACCGGTTCATCTGTACCATATTTCTAGGTTCCACATATATGCGTTAATATACGATATTTGTTTTTCTCTTTCTGACTTACTTCACTCTATGACAGTCTCTAGATCCATCCGTGTCTCTACAAATGACCCCATTTCGTTCCTTTTTCTGGCTTTTTAAAATTAATGTTTTAAGGAAGGAAATTTTTCTGCTTGGCTGGCTCTGCCTGAGGGTATGGGCGAGAGTTGAGTGGAGGTGAGTTTAAGCACCAGGCCCCTGGCCCCCAAGCTTCAGCTCTTATTATTTGCATCTTGGTTTCAGTTTTGCCACTCCCTCCTTCAGCTTTTCCATTCCCCATTCTCTCATCTGCCAGCATCTAATCTGTTTGGAGAAAACAGCAATGAGCAATTAGACTGAGGCAGGGCCTCGGAAGTCAGGGAGTTCGCATTCTGATGTGCTTTCCTTATGTGGCCTTGGACATGCCACGGTGCTGGGCAGCCATTTGTGCCCCTCTAACGGGAGATGAAGTGCCTGTTGTGAATTCAGTGCCTTCGTGGTGGCATTTTTCATCTGGATTTGGGACATGAGTTCTGCTAATTGTGCCTGATTTGCAAGGCAAGAAGCAGCAGGAGGACGGAGATATTTGCATGTTCGAGAGATGCTTTGAAACCCCCAAGGCACAAAAGCAAAACTGAAGCCAGCCCTACTTCCCCCCATTTCAGACAGCTCCCAGAGCAGAAGCCCCCATGGAACAAGCAGGTCCTATTCTGCAAAGCATCATTATATCTCCACTGGGGCCGAAAATAATTTGTTCCATTTATAGGACCGTAAAGGCAGGGAGGCTTCCGCGGGGAGCGTGGGCTTTGCAGTCATCCTGAACTGCGGTGAATGCCAGCTCGCCACTGACCGGCTGCATGTCCTTCAGCAGGTCGTTTCACTTCTCTGAGAAATGGGGATAATGACCCACACTTCTCTCCAGGTGGGGGGTGGAGATTAAATGAGATGCTGTATTTACAGGGGCCAATGACGTCACATCAGAGCCCAAGGGCGTGGGGATTCTTTAAACTGGTGGCTTTGGCCTCTGGGGACTCTGGAGGACACAGTCCCCTTTGCGAGTCCACCAAAGCCACGGACATCCCCCCTCCCCCAATGTACGTTTACACATCAAAAACTTCACTGAGCCCAGATTCAGAAGCCATGACCAAATCCACCCCTTTGTGTTTATGATGGAAGAAACTGAAGTCTTCCACCAAGAAGATCTTTGTAAAAAGTACATCAGATCCTTTAAGTCCCCTCTTAAAAACAACCAGTGAATTCCCTTTATTCTTTTCTGCCCCCAACTTTTGTTTCAATGTCGTAAAATCATTTTAACCATTTTTAAGTGTACGATTCAGTTCTCTTTATTCTTGGAATAAAACATACCCTCCATTCGTGGCCTACTGCGTGATTGGCCCCTGCCCACCCCTCTGACTTCACCTCCTATCACCACGCACCCCAACCCCTGCCCCCGTGTTCTAGCCTCTTTGTCCTTCATACGACTCATCCAACTCACCAAGTATATGGGTGTTACACTTGCTGCTTCCTCTGCCTGGAAATCTCTAGGCCTTGGTCTGCCTCATCTTTTCTCATTATTTATATCTCTGCTCAAATGCCGTCTTCCAAGAGAGGCCCTTCCTGGCCATCTAAAGCAGGGGGTTGGCAAACTTTTTTCCATAAAGGGCCAGGTAGTCAACAGTTTAGGCCTTGCGGGCCATAACGTCCATGTTGTAACTCCTCATCTCTCCTGTTGTAGGACCAAAGCAGCCAGAGACAACGTGTGAGTGAGTGGGCGTGCCTGCTTGCCAATAAAACTTTATTTACAGTAACTAGCAGCAGTCTGGATTTGCCCCTGGGCTGTAGTTTGCTGCTCTGACACTGACCTAGAGTCAGCTGCCCCTTCTGTCACTCTCGACTCCTTTTTTTCTGCATTCTTTTCTCTGTAGCCCTCATCCCGCTCAGAAACTCTACTGTTGATTTATTTTGCTCCTTGTTTGTCTGTCTCCTGCACTAGACTATAAAGTCTGCGAGCGCTGGGCCTGGCCTGTCTTTTCACTGCTGTCTCCCCAGAGCAAGGTCAATGCCCAGCACAGAGCAGATGCTCAGTAAGTATTTGTTGAATGAAAGAATAATTTCCAGTGATTCACGCAAGCTTGGGAAGGCCTTAGGAATCAGCCAACTCAGCAAGCAGGACAGTTGCTGCGTCTCCTCGCTGGCAGCTTGGCTCAGCTCCCAAGGCCTGGGGAAGAGCAGGGAGGCATCCGTTCCAGAAAAAAAGCGAAGCTGCTTACCTCTCTCATGACCTGCCGGCAGGCCCCACATGGGGAGATAAAATCATCTTGCAAGTCACTGCGAAAGCAGAGAATCAAACACGGATCAGTCTCTTCGGAGGCCAGAGGACAATTGCTAAAATTCAGGCCCCAAGTCCTGCCCGCCTCCAGATTAAGTCAAATCCAACCAGGCAGTTCCTGGTTCACAGGTGTGCTGCGTCCTAGAGGCTAAGAAGCACACAGAGCTTTCTGCACTTGCAAGAGGCAAGGCCATGGGCAGGACCATTACTTTCATCAGTGAGTTCAGTAAACGTTTAGTGAGCACTTACTCTCACCAGCGCCCCAGGGACACAGAGGTTAAGGAGAATTTGTCTCTGGCCTTCAGGAGATTGCTCAGCCCAGTGGGTGACATAGAAAACTAGATGAGTTATCACTTCAAACAAAATGCAGTAAGAATGCATGGTAACTAGGAGACCCTCCCTGACTAGGGAGGGAGAGAGAATATTTTATGGTGGAGGTGGCATTTGGCCCGGTCCTTGGAGGAAGTGTAGAGTTCATACGTCACCATTAGTGAGCACCTGTTCTGCCCCAAGCTCTTTACCACGCACTCGATAGACATTATTTCATTTAATTCTCAGTATAACCTGAGTGTCAGAATGACCATTTCACCTTCAAGAACGTATATTCAGTGAGATGAAGTAACAGAGTGCTACTCTGAAGCTCTGGGGTTTTCTGTGCTGCAGGCAAGGGATGTAGTATGTGCAAAGGCCCTGAGACATATGTGAGTCAATGAGAAAACTGGGTTCCCTGCATCGGAGAAAGCCAGAGAAGAGAAGCCTACAGCCAAGGGGTTGTCTCTGAGAGTGAAGGCACCTGAAGGCAGTCCTCCAGCCCTGAGCAGGACAAAGGATGGTGTTTAAAGAAAGAGTAAACTGTAAGAGCCTTCAAGCCTGATGAAGCACCAGAGGTTAAGCCAGTGGCCACCATCACCCTTGCTCTTCTGAGACCCACAGCTCTGTGATACCTCTGGACAATTACAGGACTTAAAATTTGGTTCTTGATCAGCTCTTCCTTTTGCTAACTACGTGTGACTTTGACCAAGTCATTTTAACCCATGCAAGGGTCATTTCTTTGCCTATAAAATGTGGGGAGTAATGTCATCCACTTTGTAGGAATGCTTAGAAGATAAAATGAGATCAGGTGTGCAAAGGCCTTGGTAAACTTTAGAATGCTATACACACATTGTTATCGCCTCTGCTAATCACTGGCACTCTTCCTTCACATATATAAGCTCTGTCATAATTTTAGTACCTTGTCATATACAGTTTTATTACATACTGTGTGCTATATGTACTATTGTATAATTAATTTACCTTACTGTGTATTAACAATAATTATCATATTGTTTAATAGGTGCCTAGAATGTGCCAGGCATCCTCCGAAGTACTTTATAGTCATTATCACATGTCAATCGACAGACATTTATTTATTGAGCACCTACTATGCGCCAGGCACTGTCAGTGCTGGGGATACAGCAGTGAACAAACCAGGCAAAATTCACTCTTCTCAGGAGTTTTTGACTAGTGAGATGAGCCAGATAACCAACCAACCAATCAACCAACCAGTCAACCATGTATCAAGTGGAGACAGAGACAGATGCTATGCACTGAATAAAGCAGCTGAGGGGAGAGAGAGTGGAGGGGTGCTATTTTATTTAATCCCCATGACAACTCCCTTTTACATGTGGAGGTCCAGTCAAAGAAAGCTTCTGCTCATGGAAAGGTGTGTCCTCTCTGAATACACTCTCAGCTTCAGAGTGATCCCATGGGAACGTGAGAGGGTGGGGACCCCTGCCCAGGATGCACCCTGAGCCAGATTAACCCATCTGGTTACCAGGTGACTGATGTTGTAGCCAGAGCCTCTCATAAGCTCTTTGGAGGCCGGACTCTGTTATTTTTTATTTCATTGCACACATGTTGGCTCAGAGTTTGCTCTATGATAGGCAAGCATGGGAGGGAGCAACAAAGACCAATCAGAGAATCCCTGACTTCAAGGACCTTGCCATCTGGAAGGGAGATAAAATCTGCGTGCCAATGTCATAACTACAGGCAGACTGTGGTTAGGGTTACGGGAGAGCTGTTCTAAGTGAAAGTCAGCCTCCCTTCCATGGCCTAGAAGGCCCTGTATGATCTGACCCCTACCAAGCTCACCATTTCCTTTCCCAATCTTGTGACATGCATGGCTAACTGCCCAAGGGACAGCCCCTTGGAAAGGGTGACCTGCATTGGGGTTTTCAAGGTGGGGTATGAACATGCATTCCACTGGAATGTTGGATTTGGTCTCAGGTTCAACCACCAAAAGTCGCAAGATGGTACACCCTGGCAGCAGAGCTCGGAGAACTGGGAGACAGCCCAGTAGTAATGGCTTACGCTTACACTGCACTTCTCTGGGCCAGGCACTGTGCTAAGGGCCATATGTAGACTAACTCATTTAACCCCTTATAAGGCAGGAACTATGTAGGTACTCTTAGCATCTACATGTTAAAGGTCATGAAAGGTGAAAGGTCACAGAGCTGGTAAGCAGGGTTTGAACCCAGGATCTGTCTACTCTGCCTTTGGTAGCTCTGCAGCTTCGCAGAAGTAATAGTGGTAATGTTAAAACAATAGCTTTCGGGCTTCCCTGGTGGCGCAGTGCTTGGGAGTCCGCCTGCCGATGCAGGGGACGCGGGTTCGTGCCCCGTTTCGGGAGGGTCCCGCGTGCCGCGGTGCGGCTGGGCCCGTGAGCCATGGCCGCTGGGCCTGCGCGTCCGGAGCCTGTGCTCCGCGAATGGGAGAGGCCGCAACAGTGAGAGGCCCGCATAACGCAAGAAAAAACAAAAACAAAAACAAAAAAAACCCAATAGCTTTCACTTGTTGCGTATATACCCCGAGTCCTCCCAGCAGCCCAGTGGGTGGGCGCCGCTCTCCTCCACTCTGCAGAAGAGCTGGGCTCGGCTTCTTGGAGCCTGTGCCCAAGGTCAGTAGTGGAGAAGCGTTTGAAACCAGGTCTCACTAACCCGGGAGCCTGGGCCCCTAAGCATGATTCAACATTCCAGCCAAGAGAAAGAATGAAAAGCCGGGGAGAAGCATCCCAGAAGGGCCCTGGGTGCCCGGGGGCCTTTTCTGCCTTTTTCCCTTTCTCCCTCTCCGCTGCCCTTCGCCTCTCCCACCTTGTGCCGGGTGTTGACAGCTTCCTGTGGTTTGTGCTGACCTTAGCCACACACTGAAGCCAGCTTATCAGACTTGACAGGCTGGAAACCTATCGACTCTGATGATGACAGCTAGGACCCCAGCGGGGCAAGCTTCTCTCTCTGTCAGCAAAATCCCGCCGAGCTGTGCGCTTTCCACCTTACAGATCTCGAGGGGGGCTCTCTGAGACTATTCACACACATCAGTGTTAACAAGGGAGCCGGCACCTCCCCTTCACCCTCTAAATCCACACTCTCAATTTAACAAATCATTAGTGCAGTAATGACTGCTTTTCTGGCTCGGGAATGCTGGCGCAGGCTGAGTACCTGGACAGGAGCAGTTGGGTGCTGGAAAAATGCGTTTTTTGTGTAAACAAGGACATTTGCTAATCATCGCTAACGAAACTCAGTCACGTTTTTTTAAGACTAGATAATGACCAAGAGAAAAAGCCTTTCATCTGGAACATTCTAAACAGAGCAGGGCCACCTTGCCATTGTCCTTTTGTTGACTTTGGCCTCCGTTTCCCCAGAATATCATTATTTTCTTGGATCAGCTTTGAAATTGAGTCACCCCCACCCTCATTTTATAAAGTGTAATTCACATCCTGATCTCTGTTCGTTCGCACAAAATGTTCCCAGGGCGGCCTCATTTATTCCTCCCAAAGCCGGAGGGAAGCCAGGACAGACCTTGGTCACAGGGAGAGCTCTCAGAAGCTGAGGCCCTTCTCCAGAAGTGCATCCTTCGCTTCCGTTACTCAGGGAAGAAAACCTTCAATAATGTGGACCACCTTGGGGGCCAGACTGAGGCCAAATTTAGGATCTTATAAAAGAAATGGGGGGACTTCCCTGGTGTCACAATGGTTAAGACTCCACTCTCTCAATGCAGGGGGCCTGGGTTCGATCCCTGGTCAGGGAACTAGATCCCACACGCATGCCACAACTAAGAGTTCGCACGCTGTAACTAAGGGGCCTGCCTGCCACAACTAAGACCCAGCTCAACCAAATAAAAATACATAAATAAATAAATATTTTAAAAAAATAAAAAAGAAATGGGGGCTGGTTTCTGTCACACAGACACCATAGGCCTTGCTCTCAGCCCCTACATTTCTGCCAGAAAGGTCCTGCATCTCCACCACAATGAAGAGATCATTCACACCTAGTCCATGACCCATGCACCCGGATGTCCCTAAAGACCAACACTTGGTCAGCCTTGCAGTCTCTTTCTGGGTGGATTCAAAACTTCCCAAGTTCTTTTCCTTGCACCGTTACCTTGCTGTGAGAACTCTCTCTCATAGGCAATGCAACAGTACACAGAGAAGCAAGTGTAATGGGGTCCAAATTAACAAAAGAGCCCATTCACATGCTTTGAATCCTGAAGCCACTGAGTCTGGGTCCAGGGCCAGTAAGAACTCAACGAGTTCCCTTTGAAGGCACACACGTGGGAACTTGGATCATTATGCCTGGGGCCTGTAGAGAGAGTTAATAAGTGCTCTTATTCAGCCAGAACCTGGGCTGGAATCTGATCAGTTTAGACCATAGCCTGGGTTTGCCTGGGTGTCACCCCACCAGCTTGTCCTTTTATCCCGGCTCTTGCACCTAGAGGTGATTGATGCCACGTGAAGGAGCTGGCACAGTGAAGGGCGGATCTCAGTACCAGCTCAAGGAGAGCAGGGAAGAAGGTTTCCTTTCCTGGCACAGCATGGCACAGTGGAATGAGCCCTGGAGTCAGACTCTAGATATGTATCTGTCCCGGCTTCGCCACTAATTCCTAGGAAGGTTGCTCATCATCTCTGGGTCTCAGTTTCTTCAAATGTAAAATGGGTGTAGTGGCCAGGCAAGTCTATACCAGTGATTTTTAGGTCCCTCTAGCTTTGTTTCTATGCTGCCTTTCTATTGTATCTTATAGGGATTCTGTTGTGTTTTGCGCTATTATTAGAACAAGAGCACGCCTGCCTTTGTCTTAGAGTTGTCTTGCTTGTTTACCTGCTCTTCAGGCTCACCAAGGGCAGAGTCCATTTCTTATTTATCTTCTACCCTCAGCACTCAGCCCAGCCCTAGAGTGCCCCACACCATAGGAAGCGCAGTATAAATACATGTTAGGTGAATGAATGAATGGATGAATAACTGGTATGTGGTGGATGTTGGCTGAATAGATGAATGAATATTGCTGTGAGCAGCCTTTCCCACTCACCTGGAGATAGCAATTGCCCTGAACTCTTTGTACCCTTCTGAGATGGCCTTCTGGATGGCGGTTCGTTCAGCACAGACGCCCAGTGGGTAGCAGGCATTTTCTATGTTGCACCCTGAGAAGAGAGGAGAGACCAGTGCTATTTGCAGCAGAGCCACTTCCTGTTGCATGTGCAGAGTAAGAGGCTTACCCCATTCCAGTGCTGGGAGGGACCTGCTACTAGGAACAAGGTGCGGGCAAGGAGAGGGCAACTTGACCAGAAGCATTGGGAGACTCCGTGACCCACTGGTGCAGTGGTTTTTCCCAAGAACCTCCCACTCTCATCACTTATCTGATGCCTGCATTTCGAAGCACAGCCTGGAAGCAGGGGCAGCATCACAGGGCAGATTAACTCAGCCTCATCTCCCCATCAGAGGTCAGATCAGGGCCAAGGGAGATGCCAAGACTTAAGAAGATGAGCAGAGCCCCCCACCCTGGGTCTCAGAGACAGAAGCCACAGGGTGGGGTGCGGTGGTGATCCTGATTCAAAGATTGCACCTGAGTAAAAAAAATTTGTTTTTTTAAAATAATTTTTGGCCACGCAGCGCGGCGCGGCATGTGGGATCGTGATTCCCCGACCAGGGATTGAACTTGTGGCCCCTGCAGTGGAAGCGTGGAGTCTTAACCACTGGACCGACCGCCAGGGAAGTCTCCAAAATTTTTGGTGTGGATACCAGCTGTCAGAGTTCAACCAGGGTTCTCTGTGAGTTGTATTGCAAAACAAAACTGTCAAAACCAACAAACTAACAAACAAAAGCTCTCAAGCTTTGCAAAAGATGTTTGTGATTGCACAAAGGGATTCCACCCCAGGGGCGTTCTCTGGAGTGTTCCTGGGGACAATGGGCAAGGGCTGCTCCCAGGTGACAAAGCACTGGCATAGCCAGATTGGCTGACTAACAGACTCCACATTTTCAGGGAGGTGAGGCCATGAACCAATGGCCACAGGAGCTGGGCTTTCCCCTGACCATCAGGGTGTCATTTTCTGTACGTCACTCTTCATAGCTTGCCCTTCTCCCTGGGGCAGGATATTCATTGTTCCCCAGTATTCATTTTCTCCGTCTTCCTTTAAGTAATACAAGCGATTCCCATTCCCATATGGCTGATCACATGGCCACTCAGAGACTATATTTCCCAGCCTCCCTTGCAGCAGAGTACGGCCATGTGACTAAGTTTTGGCTAATGGGATGTGGCCCAAAGTGAGGTGGGAAACTTCTGGACCACATCTTTTGTAAAGAGACTGCTTGCCCTTTACTTCCTTTCTTTTCCCCTCCATAGGCTGGGTTGGGGTGGGACAGCTTTGACCACGTGCTTTATATTCATAGGGATGGAGAAGCAACGGCACAGAAGGAACCTGGGACCCTGGCCACAACTCCTGGAGCAGAGCTGAGTTGCCTACTTGCCCTGGACCAGCTGCCTACTCTGAATCATCATGTGAGAGAAAAAGAGAATTCTGTCAGGTATGAGTCATTGTATTTTGGAATATTTTTTTTATTTTTCATTATTTATTTGTTCATTTATGGCTGTGTTGGCTCTTCGTTTCTGTGCGAGGGCTTTCTCTAGTTGCGCAAGTGGGGGCCACTCATCGTGGTGCGCAGGCCTCTCACTATCGCGGCCTCTCTTGTTGAGGAGCACAGGCTCCAGACGCGCAGGCTGAGTAATTGTGGCTCACGGGCCCAGACGCTCCGCAGCATATGGGATCTTTCCAGACCAGGGCTCGAACCCGTGTCCCCTGCATCGGCAGGCAGATTCTCAACCACTGCGCCACCAGGGAAGCCCTTGGGATATTTTTGTTACAGTAATTTAACCTGTATCTAACTAAAACAGAAATTTGTGCTAAAAATAAGATGTAGCTTTGACCAAAAAAAAAAAAAAAAAGAAAAATCAAAAATATGTGGCCTTGACTTAGCAGTTGGGCAATGTGAAAGAAAATACAGATGTGGCAAGATGGAAAGCTGATGGCCCTTGCTACTCTGTGGCAGATTATTTGGTAAAACCCCACCCTGCAATAACCTGGAAGGCAAACCATGGTACACACTCTTAGGACTTTTCTACCTAGCAATGTGAATCAGCCCTGTAGCAAAGATCTGATTAAGGCTGTCATTTCCACCCAGTCATTGTTTCAGGTGCCTCAAGGTAGCCACCATTAAAATGAGGCAGCAGGGCTGGGCTGGGCAGGGAAGCCAGTTAGTAAAAAAGGGAGCTGGCGGGCTTAAGAACTATTGCACAGAAAGGATTCTTTGGGTGTGCTACTCCTGTATGAAAGTGGAAGCAAACAGACCAGAAGGTTTCTAAATTTTTGATAGATTTGGATAGCCAGAGAAACCCAAAGTCTGGCCTACAAAAGCCTGTGATTGTTCAATTCCTAAAGAAATCTGGGGCCCCCAAGACTCCACCATCAGAAGTAAGTTGAGAGAGCTGTGTGCCTCCAAGGAGAGCATTCTCTCTGACACCCACTTCAGAGGTAAGGCTGAGGAGGATAATGGTCAAGGAAGAAGGTCCCAGAGGGCAAAGCCAGGGGCCCCAGTGGGCAGTGGACAAGGCGGTCACCCCCAGGGCAGAAAGGGGAGGCAAGGTGTACCCCGGAACAGGGAGTTTTCACACTTCTTGCCCAGCAGGTCTGATAACTGCACGGACTGGTGGCCAACAGGTGTTCTGTTTTCCTAATGGGAGATTTGATGACTGTTAGCCTTTCCTGCTCCACGTTGTATATGGCCAGAGTGGGTGTGAAGTGGGGGGGCGGATGATTATTTTTTAGTTTTCAGGCCACTGGATTAGCAAGGCCACACCCGACCTGAGAAGGTGGGCTGTGCACCACCAAGGGATACTGCTTTTAGAGCGGGATGCAGTGACTGGGTGGACTTTGGGTTGTCACCCTCAGAAAGTTTATAAGTGGGTCCGTGTGGGAAGAAAGATGTACGGATACTTACAGGCCACAGGGGGGTCTTGTGGCAAAGACTAATTGTCCCCAGTGTTCACACTCTCAATAGAATCCATTGGAGTTTAGTTGGGCACATGCCTACCCAGCTGGAGACTATGTTTCCCAGCCCCCCTAGAAGCTTGGGGGTAGTCCTATAGGGTTAGCCAATGGGATGTGAGTGGAAGTGTTGGGTGAAACCTGACCCACACTGGACCAATCAGAGTTGAGCACCTGACCCACACTAGGCCAATCAGAGTTCTCCTCCGTGAGGGACCATCAGTCCCTCTCTAACACCAGGAGCTGGGCCTGGGCCCAGCTAGTTTCCCTTCTTTATGGAGAACACCAATAGGAGGCAATGAAATGGACAATCAGATGAGAGATGGTGGGAAGAGAGTCCGGCCTCCTGATGCCAGGTGCCCTTGAAGCCCAGAAACACTCCAGCTCTGCCACCATTTAGTTATAGGAACCAATGCACCCTCCTTTTGCCTAAAATAGTTTAAAAAGTAGTATTCCTATCATTTGCAACCCTACAGAAATCAGTTAATATAGTTGGGATACAGGACAGGGAGCCATCAGGGAGCTGCAACCATGAAAGGAGTGGTTGATATTTATCGACTGCCTACTTTGGCAAAGCATTTGTTCATCTTCACATGTGAGTTACTGTAGCCTGGATAAGTGGCCCCTAAATGCTCAGGCTCTCTGCTAGGTCAGTGAAAGTTAAATGAATGAGTCTTTCTTGCTCCCTACCTAGTCTCCCCAGACAGGTTCCTGACGCCTGCTGGAAATGGCTTCCTTTAAACATACGCTTGCCTGCTCATACCTGCCTGCCCCTCCCACCTTTGCCGACCTGTGACCTTGCTGCATTTGACTTCTGCCTCTCCCAGAAGCAGAAGAGCTGCTCCCCACTCCACTTCCCGTCTAGCAACCCGCCCACCCCTGCCTCATCCCTGCCTCAGGGACACTTTTCCCATTAGACGTGATTCACATAAATCTTGGGTTTTGCTGATGTGATATTAAAGCAAATTGCCAGACTGCAAAGGGCCCGGACTCTCAGGATGATTGCCTGTGTCGGCTTTTGAAGTTCACAATGACCTCATGTAGAGAACTCTTCCTTTACTGTGTGTAAAAACTTCAACGGGCCAGTTAAGGAGAGGGAGAGTTTGTTCTAGAAGGGAGTGCACTCACATACCCTACTGTTCAAATAGACTTTTGTAGAAAGATCCGGTAGGTTTTGTTCTGCCCTGGGACCCTTTGCCCTCCTGGCTCTGAGAATTTGGGAAAGGGACTGAACCTCCTTGAGGCTCAGAGTGCTCATTTGTAAAATGAAGATGACAGCACCTTCCTCGCAGGCCTCTAGTGAGAATGAGTTGAGATCACGCGTGTAAAGCAATGAGCACAAAGCCTGGCACAGAGTAAGCGTTCAGCAGCTGGAGCTGCTATTTTCTTTTTGCGGTGCGCGGGCCTCTCACTGCTGTGGCCTCTCCCCTTGCAGAGCACAGGCTCCGGACGCGCAGGCTCAGCGGCCACGGCTCACGGGCCCCAGCCGCTCCGCGGCATGTGGGATCCTCCCGGACCGGGGCACGAACCCGCGTCCCCCGCATCGGCAGGCGGACTCTCAACCGCTGCGCCACCAGGGAAGCCCTGGAGCTGCTGTTCTTAATTGCATGCAAGTCAAGGCTTTGGTGATGGAAGGCCTGTAGGACTGAGCTTCTGTTCCTTCCGGACAAGGTGTCACAGTGGCCCTCTCTCAGTCCTTCAGGCAACTTTGAAATTCTTTCCATGACTACAAGGCCCTCATAATTTGGTGCCAACCCGCCTACCTCCTGGACCTCAACTCCTTTTGCTCTCCAGCTGTTCCCCAAGTGCATACCTGCTGCAGGGCCTCTGCGCCGGCTGTTCTAACTGCTTGGAGGTCTCCTCCCCCATAAGCACATGGCTCACTCTACCCAGGTCTCTGCCCAAACGTCATCTCCTTGGAGAAGCCTTCCCTGATCACTCCATCTAAAATTGTTTCCCGCCCCCCTCACCTCCCACCCTCTTAATCCATTTATCTTGCTTAACAACACTTCACACTTTCCTGAAATGAATGTCTTTAATATCTAATTCCCCCATTATCCCCCAAGTAGAAATTCCTGAGGGCAGGGACTTTGTCTATACTG